GACGAAGTTGTCGCTTTGCTTGATTTTGCTCTTCCGGAACCTGAGGCAAGCTGAGATGACCGCCGAACATCCGCACGACCATCCTCCTCTTCCTCCTCCTCCTCGGTTTGATCCTCTAAACTCTGCGCGGCATCTTCGCTGGCGCGCTTGGCCCTTTGACGTTGGATCGTCAGATGGTACGCCAGTCCACTGGCGTGACGCGGATCGATGCGCCGGTTTCTCACGCACGCATCTAGCCCCCAGACCAAACGGTGAATTCTATCTGGCACACACAGCCGATCCACTTTGGCTTCATTCAAGCTCATGAGTATATCAAACCGGAGAGTGCATAGTGTGGCCGAGATCAAAGCAGGCTGACATGGCAAAAAGGCTAGTGGAATGAACGGTTGAGTTCCCGAACANCGAACAAACTGATGATTCGTTGGTAACTTTGTCTCTATTTGAATTGTTGCTGCTTGTAGAATCCAAGCGTCGACGGCGTTTGGGTGGAGGCGGTGGAGTGTTTGGTTCTTTGGCAGTGACAGATGCTAATGCTGTTGATGCTTGCTGATGAGCGGTTTGCTCTGCACGCATGCATTCCTCGCGGAGAATATTCACAATCTTGATCGAACGAAGTGATTAAAAGAAACAAAGTCAAGGGAGAATCATAAATAATCGTCTTTGAGTTCAAAAAACAAACCAGGATTCGGGTGTGAAGGATAAAATTAATAGAGTGATGCTGAAACCAAGAACAATGCCCTGGGTGTTTTTTGACGCACTGAATATGCTGTCTTTCAGGAAAAATTCCGTCCATCGAAAGAAAATACACTGAAGAGCATCCTACTATATCAATTAATTCGGGCGAAAAATTAAGGTTACTCATTAAACAATAGTCTTCATCACACAGAATGGTACATTAAATGCAACACATCAGAGTCATCCAAAAATATACCATTTGAAATGATCATGTGGATCCAGTTATCAACAAAACGCGTGATACAGTTTAGCAAATGATGGTAAATCTAGTTCTAATTTGGGTGCGGAGATGTGATAAACAAGGATGCGTGCATTTATTCGTGTTTCTTGGGCCTTCCCGCACGCCTCTGATAAGTAGTCCAGTCACGGAACAATATTCACAAAAAATCCACTCATCCGAAGCAAAATTGATTCACCTTTTCATAGAGAACTTGGTCATCCCCGATCATCTCTACTATGCGAACGATTGCTGCATCGCGCCTACGTCTCCGCGGAGGCCAATAGAGCAGCGGGACTAGATCTGCTGTAGATGAAGCAGTTGAACAAACGGCCATGGACAATGTATCCAACAATGCGTCGGACCAATTGCTTTGGAAACGAGTTATTACTTTATGCAGTTCTTCTTGAAATCTAAAGAAAGTGAACCAAACCAATAAAAGTTAGCCATCCTATCAGGAGATTCTCTAAGCGTGAATACGCGAGTGTTCAACTCCATCAAAACACTTTTCGTCATAAGGAGTTCTACCACTAGCAAGGGTAGTGTTGTGTTTCGTGCCCTAGCATGTGATAGGAAATCTCCAAAATGTGGGTATTCAGAAAAATTAAAAGTAATTCAACTTGGAAGTTCTTTGACTGCACTACACACCGAATAGTTAGAAAGGTGAACCATCGTACGTTGGAGAAATCGGACTGTACCAAAAAGGCCAAAGTAGTGTAACCGTTACATAGGGTTGGATGACAATGCTGATGATGTCACTCGAAGCCAAAGTAGTTATAGAGCGGACGGCCTACGTCATACTAATGCAGTGATCTAAGTATAAAGTCCAGCGGTAGCTGATCCACGTGTAAATTTTGTATAGATACCACGAATGGATCGCATCTTCACGTGGTACGATGGCTTGTGCACCTCTATGACCCAACGAGCTATACAGGATGGCTTTTGTCAAGCCGCAAGTCTAATCATGCCTGGAAGGTCAATGGGTAGAGGTTAGACGAAGTCCAGCCTCCTGGTCCTCCAGGTCGAGGGGTTCGACTCGAGTTAGCGTCTCAGATGGTAAAATGGTAGAGGAGTAATCCATCCAAGTAAATGGCCCTCTGCTTCGCTTTACCCGCTGCCTTGTGGTCAGGTTCTTGTTAGAACTAAAGGCTTTGGATGAGAACCCCAATCGGTCTCCTGCTTAGTGGCTGGACACCCTAGCAGTACCCGTCCATTAAACTCTAATGCATACACAAACAGAAAATAATTCCATACTGCATCGGTCGTCGCGCAGGATAATCAGGACCGCGCTGCCCATTGCATCGAGCGGGGTGGGCAGTCGTAAGTGGGCTACTGCTCAAATATCCCAACCTTTGTTTATCTCTTTGCCCTCGGTACTCAGCCCTCTCCGTCTGTCCCTTCCTCCAACTCGTAACAGTCGTGAAAAAACTTGTTCTCCACTCACCAAAGTTCGCTGCCAAGTAGCCCCGTAAGTAGTTTACCACAAAATAGGTAGCAGATTCTAAAGCCTCGTCAATCACTTATTCGGGGGGCCTTTAAAGTGAGGACGCTGATGCAGGTAGGTCAACAAGCGTGTCTAGCGCGTACAATGGACTTCTTGGCGATTGATGACTGCTGCGTGTCGGAGACGCGAATCTATCATCCTAGTACTATATGCCACTTAAGTGCACCGGAACAGACTTTGAGGTTCTTCCTCCGCACGTCAAATGACGACGAAGCCCGTTCAGTAGGCCAGCTTGGTATAGGGATTGTGCTGAATAATATGGCCGAAGCGTCAATAAACGATTGGACCTTCGTCAACAGTCGTTTATGTGCGAAGCGACTCCAAGGGACTATCAGCGTCCGGAAGGGAAGCAACACCAAAAGGTATTTATTCATCATTTCAGCGTATGCATCGACCAACTGCAGTTCTGACACACAAAAGACGAGTTATATGATAAACTCACCGAACTCATTCACTTGAGCTGAAGCTTCGATATACTTGTGCTCGCAGGTGATTTTAACGCGTAAGTTGGAAAACTGAGCGCATCGGAAGCTTGCCTAGACGGTCATTGTGCTCTGCCCTGCCAGCGAACAGATAATGGAGATCGACTTCTCAAGTTCTGCGCAGATCATCATCTGTTCCTATCCAGCACCAACTTCCGACACAGCTCTCAACGGACATCAACGTGGCGCTCAAATTCAACTGGCACGCTAACTCAGATTGACCACATAGCAGTAAGCTACCGATGGCGTGGCTCAGTACAAAATTGCAGTTTCTATTGGACCACCTGCGTTGAATCTGGTCGCCGAAAACCCCATCAAACTCGACTGGCAGATAATCGCCTATCTCACCCAGCCGTTCGTGCCCGTTTTGAATCAGAACTAAGACAAGAGCTGAACGCACTGCGGGGTGGTAGTGTAAATGAAAAATGGGATCAGAATAGCCGGTTGTATCGATGAAATCTTCACCCTGCGTCAAGTCCTCACACTACACCATACTCACCGTCGACCAACGGTTGTCATGTTCCTTGATTTGAAAGGAGCCTCCGACTAGGCTGATCGTTAATCCCTTATGAGTTCACTCCTTTGCAAATGAATGCCGCAGAAGTACGTGAACATACTGAGTTCACTCTACTCACTTCTGGTAGCATAAGGGTCTACGGCGAGCTGAGTAGGTCGTCCGTAACTAGCAGCGGTGTTCGCCAAGGGTGCCCTCTTTCGCCATCCCTGTTCAATTTCGTCATAGACGAAATACTAAAGAACACACTAAGTGATCTCCGAAATGTAGGTATTGAATGGTCAGTTGGAGAAAAGCTGTGAAATTTAGAGTACGCTGACGACATCTTTTGCCTCTTCGAATCCATGGATGATGCACAAAGAGCATTTGACAGACTAGCAAGTTCTGTCGCTCCGTTCGGCATGTGCTTCGCACCTTCGAAGTGTGAAGTGATGCTGCAAGACTGAGTGTCGCCGAGTTCTGTTCTGAAACTAGACGGTCAGGAATCAAATGAAGTTGACTGCTTCTCTTACTCAGATGGGTGCGTGACTAAAGGCGCAGGACTAAAACACTTTTTGCGACAACGTGACGAATCGCTTAAAGTGAAAAGTCGTGTATATTGCGCCACTGTAGGATCAGTTCATTTCAGTTCTTACAAGCATTAACCATGCACTTTCGTGTGTCGGTTTTGGTTACTGTCTTTTGGTTGCCAATTTGGATAAAACAACAGAGTGATGATTAAAATGTTGATAGCAGAATCAAGCGGAAGATAACGCATTTGCATAGACTGAAGTCGCAAGAGTAATGAGTAGATTCATGAGCACCACTGTTTGCGACACCCAGTCGGTCAGTGTCTCTAACCATCGGTGACCATCATCCCGAGGTCCCCAGTCAGAGAGTTTAACGGGACCTATGTGAGCCAGTCTTCTGGTTAGGGTTTTCATACCCTCATGCCAGGTCTTAGTTTGCCCGCCATTGATCGTTTTCCATTCGCTGACTGCCTCGGCAAACATCGATCCGCGGTAACCTATCTGGTGACATGCGCAGCACATGTCCCTACCAGCGTAATCTATAAAGGTCGACCACTTGCTCCACTGGACGACCTCGATTACCCAGAACTCTACGCCTGACCTCAGCATTGTTCGTCCGGTTTCCCCACCAGACTCGTGCAATGCTACGTAGACAGCGGTGTTCGAACGCCGACAGTATAGTTTTATCCTGTTCCCTTAATGGCCAAATTTGTGTACTCTGAAGCAGCAGTGGCCGAACTGCTGCAGCATATACTCGACCCTTCATAGACAGCCGGATGTCGCGACGGCGCCACAGATGTCTCAAGTTGGCAAATGAGAACCGGGCGTTCTGTCTGCGCGCCGACACCTCATCTGTGATGTGTCCGCCAGATAGAAAAATTTATCTGTTTCCTCTATTACTTCCCCAGTCAGGGTGAGGTTGGGGGCTGGGCCAACCCGGTCTCGTAGTAGCATTTTACACTTTGAAGGTGCAAAACGCATACCGAACATAGCTACACTAGCAATCAAACTATCCAGAAAAGCTTGCAACTTACCTGGATGGTCACTTAGTAGCACAATGTCGTCTGCATACTCACGGTCAGACAGTCCGCCACCTGGGAGCAAATCGATGCCGCTATTCTCGCATGGGAATAGAGCCGTTTCCATTATGAAATCTATAAAATAGTTAAACAGAAACGGAGACAGAGGGCAACCCTGGAGAACACCACTTTCTGTAGTGAACTCACGTGAAAGTGTCGTAATCTCAGCCTCGGTTTCGGCTATTAGTAAAAGGGATTGTAATATTGAAATCAACGGTAGGACTAGTTGTGCTTCACGGTTGAGACCTTGAATTTGTGGTAGAAGACATCCGTCGCCTGGTGGTTTTCGACAATCGATGCTTACGTAGCCTGACCGAAGTGGGATGGAGTGAGCGGGTTAGTAGCCTAAAAATGAATCGTCAGGTGTCTGGGAATATATCAAACAAGAACTCGCTATCGCATCCTATCCAGCTAAGTAGGCTCCGTTGGTTAGGATACGTTTTGCATATGTCCGACGGTCACCTACCGCAGCACGCCTTGTTTGCAGTGGCTGTTACAGACTAGAGGAAGACACGTGGAGGCCAACAGATGACATGGAGACGGGGCATAAGGAAGTGCACAGAGCGATTAGGTAGAGTAGGTATCTCTCGTCTTCCTGGTTGGGGTCCAAAATAATCCGAAACCGCATGGTTGGAGACACTGAAGATCATGGCTGCGAACCGACACCAATGGCGATCATGCTGTCACTTCTTATCAGATCAGAGTTCTCGAAATTGTATGTATGTATAGTTGGGCTGTGTGCTCTGTGTGTTGACCATAGAAGTTTGCTCTTTCATCGTCCCCCAAAATAGGCCCAATCACTACCGCTAATACACATTCTCATTTACCTTGTATGCATTATGAGTTTGTTAGCGATAAGTGAAGTTCGCTTCACTGTATTACGCAGTACGATGATCACGATGATGATGATGAATTCCAAATATTCACAGGATGTGGACTCGCACGTTTCTCTGACTCAAATAAGGTACAGGGGACGGTTTACCTCGGGATAATCACACAGAGGGGGGAGAATAATGACGAATTGAGTTGGTCCGTTCCAACTGTTAGTTGGAGAAAGTTTAGTGAATTAGAAGATAATTTAAAAAGATACGAACTGATAAATGAAGTCCTCTGTGATACTAAGGGACTTGTCATAAGCGTGCCACAACGGATTTACTGACAGCAGAGACGAAACGGGAATGACGATCACTTCACATTAGTTTCCACTTAGTGCATGGTCGCACAAACCATCAAAATTCACAAAACAAGTAAACAGTCAGAGATTAACCAAAGGTACGTGGACAAAGAATCGGTTGCTCTACTACTGAATACATGACATGTTCATGTCAGTGGTCGAGGGATTGGCCTCAGCTTCAAGTAAATCACTAATTTTTAAAATACAACAGATAAAACTTTGTATTTTTTACACATTTTCGTGTGATTAACAGCAGATGGGGAAGCCCCATAGTCACGAGGACCTGTTATTTAGTGTTGGAAACCGGTAACCTAAGTAAAAAAGACGGAAAAGATGTTGCCAAAACCTTGAGCTAAATTTCAATAGACTGACATACATGCATTAGAACGCATATTCTTGGAAAGAAACAGATACACTGAAACAACAGTCTTATTCTATTTGGGTTAAAAAGAAAAAACTTACTTGTGTGGATGAGCCACCCAAATATGCCGGAGGACCGGTAAGGGAGCATCGTCATACAAATACGGATTGTCCACAATCAAGTTAACATGTCTTTCTTTGATAGAGTTTGTCTTTCCGAGAACCTGTGACACAAGTGCCTCAATGAAAAGAAACGGAAGCAACAACTTACCTGCATTATAAGTGACCGCATATACGGATGATGTATGTACACCATTCCTGTTTTAATTAATTTCTGCCATAATTTTTGACACTTTCTTTGATCTGGATCTTCCGCTTTTGTGTCTACATTTGTCTTTATAGCGTCCAACAGACGGTCATTTATACTCTATTAATAGAAAAAAAAAATCGAAATAACACACGACTTACCCAAAGGATACTGTGACGTGAAACACCGTGAATGTCTAGTAACTTCAGTGCTTGACTGAAATTGGGTACCAACTGTTCCCAGTACCTATCCTGAAATAGCTCAATATCCTCTTTAGTAATGTGGGGTTTAGTGAAAAGGCTCTCAATAGCCTTTTTCATCACTGGAAACACAAATGGTTTAGGATTCTGCATGGCTTAGTTATCAGATTAGTTCATAACTTACAGAATCTTTAGATTCCATTGTGTTGAATTTTTCTGACAAGAGAAATTCCTATTGAATAAATCTGAAAAAAATAAAGGGTAAGGAGTGCAGACAGCTTTAAACAGTATAAAGAACTGCATCATAGGATTTTGTTGGTATACCTTCGAAAGTCTCAGTATGGTCCGGGGTAGGTGTCTCGGGTTACAGTTGGTCATACCTCCCTTGCAGCTCGTGAAATGCCCCATGCGACCAAGCGTTTCCAACAGCTTCTGCTGAGGAAGCCCTACTTTTTTTATTTTTTATTACACACTTTCGTGTGATGAACACGAGGACCTACTGTTCAGTGATGGAAGCCGGTGACCTAAGCCCGGGACTTGGAGTGGCCAACCACATAAGACCCCGCTAGGTCAGGTGTGGTATTGAACCGGACGACAGCAAACCCATCTATCACCAAATTTGGGTGGCAGAGCGGGGCTCGAACTTCAAACCATTGGATCCAAAGCACGCCTGTGAAAGTGACCAAACCATATCCAGTTTACTTTACAATTCTTGTATTATCCGTTATATTTGTATTGTGTGCATTTCTTTCTTATAGTAGCAATATACTTCACTATGCAGTTGATTAAATCCTACGATTCGGCCTACCTCTTCTGTTGTACTCAGAGCATTTCACTGATTGATAATCTACTATACCTACTCACTACATTCTTGTGGCGGTGTTTTTCCACCAAAGTGAGGGGACGAAAATCCAATATCCGGGTTGGTGAACCAAGGGAGTTGGCTAAAAGCTCTGATCCCAGACCAACCAAGAAGAGGAGTACAAACCACGCACACACCTTCCGGGTCGTGGTAGTGGTCATTGGACCGATTGCCTATCGAAGTGTGTTGGACACCTTGGAAGTTTGACCCAGTCCAAAGGGCATACGATCCGATGAACTAAACACCGGCCCTCAATCGATTGTGGTTTTCGCATACCACCCCGCTGCACTGCGAGCAAGGCTTTGGCTAGCTTCAATTGTGAACCCAAGAAAATTCACCTGCTTTGGACTGGGCAACGAAGCACTACCGTACCTTCGAGAAAATCAAGGACCCCGTTTATAAACATTATTGTACCGTGATTTATTTGATACAGTCTGAAGCTAGGCGTGAGAAAATAACACAAAATTGTTAGTGTCGCTTATAAAGCTTATCGCCCAAAATGCAATTTTGGGCCCAACCACAGCTAGGATGAGTTACCGAGTTTTCGCCATTCTTAACAAACGGGAAAAGATACATGTTTCAGTTTCAGTTTCATTTTTTGCAACCACCATCAATGCACTTTCATGAGTCGGTATTGGTTGCTGTTTTTTGGCTACCCATTTGCACAGAAAAGCAGAATGAAGATTTGAATGTTGAGAGCAAATTCAAGCGAAAGATAGAGGAGGATTAATATTGACTGAGATTGCAAGAACAATGAGTATATACATGAGCGTTACTGTTTGCGACACCCAGGCATATCATTCAGTGTCCCTAACTACCGGTTACCATGAGCTCCGGGTCTAAATCCGGGGAGCCTAATGGGATCTATGTGACCTAGTCTCTTTGTTAGGGTTTTAATACCCGAATAATTTCGCGACCGACCAATAGGCACTGATCGGAGAATGAAGTGTGAAGTATCACCTATTACTGAGTAATATTCACGTTTTTGAAACCCAAAACCCTGTTGATCTTGTTGATGAGCGATGGTTCTTAAGATAAGATTGCGAAGAACTTGTATAGCTGTTTGAACCCTGTCAAAAGTCGAGTTTTGAATACAGGCCAAGGGACCGTTTGGAAATTACTGGAAAAGTGGATGGATATAACAGCACATTACCTTTTTGAGATTGGATCTGTTTCCTCACGCAAACCTAATTCGTGCTGAATTGTTTTTGCAGTGGGGTGTGTACACCGACCAACCAGTAAGGCTTCCCATTCGAAACGGAAGTGCCGATAAAATACTGACCGCTTGGCGAATCCAGGAAAACTGACAAATTTAGTGCCCCACCATCGTATGCTTTGTCCACTTTTACGCGAGGATAGATCGAGTAGACTACAGGCCGGTCTAGAGGATAATGCATGTAGACAGATGATCCAATCAAGCCAGTTAATGTAGTGATGTGGTCGAATCGTACTATGCCAGAATAAAAGCTTGTATTTTAGCCTATGGAAAGATTCTCATTACCTCAAACGGAAGTACCAGTAACACAAAGAAGTCTTCTATCAAACATGTTGTTTAATTCCACCGTCGACTGGGTCACGCATCTGACAAACACGGGGCAATTCAATCAACTGGTAATCGACATCAGAGTACAGGGTAATATAGTGAAACGAACTTCACTGACTGCAAACAACTTCATAATGCATACAAGGTAAGCGAGAATGTATGAGGATAGCGATTCGGTCTGTTTGGATAGACAATGGAGGAAATCGAACTTCCATGATCAATAGACCGAGTAAAATGGTCGAACTTTGCATAAAATACGAGCCTGCACCTCGATATGGTAT